TGGTTGATAACCCCTTGGCATCTTTAGGGCATCAATCTTCTTGGAGTAGGGCTTTGAGTAGAATGATGAGGTATGTGAGCTCCCCTCGTACTGCGCCTTGATGGTGCTGGTTATCATCTCTTGCAGTTGTTGGATAGAAAGAGATCCCATGAGTGCCTCTGCTTGGCCTGGCTCTGGCTTCACATCGGTTTTCTCCACCGGAGGCTCTTCATCCTCGTTGTTTTCCTTCTTTACTGAACCATCCCCTTGCTCGATTTTCACGTCGGGCTTTACATCTAGTTAATTTACTAGTGCGGCGATTTGCTGGTCTTTTTCTTCCACAATCCGTGTTAGCCTTGCGATTGTTTCATTCATATGAACCAGCTGCTCATCGACTGATGTTGCTCCAGCAGTCATGACTTGCATGGCTGAGTTGCCGCTTGAGTCAGCATCGGAAAGCATGAAACCAGAGTACTTCCTTGGGCTTTCCTTCCTTGGCGCCTTTAGCGAAGCCAGGGTGATCACAGGTTCATGCTTTAGGTGCTCTTGTTCCTTCGGCGGAGTTGATGCAGAGGTGGAAGATGCGGCAGAAAGAGCTCTTGCCTTGCTTCGAGTTATGATGCCCGAAGTGACACCGCCTACGGTGATAACGTTCTTGTTCCTTGCATTGGCCGCGAGAACAACTTGAGCCTTCTTTGATGCTATTTGTGCTTTTTGCGGATTCAAAGATAGAGATGAGAGGTAGAGATGGTCCCACCGAGCGTGCCAAATTTGTGAACACGGAAATTCCCTGCGCTGAACGAGACAAGAAACACGTGTACAAAATAATATTTGTATTGATGATTTAGGGGTTACAATCTCTTCTACAAATTTAGCCTCTGATTCTATCTTTGCAATGGGTGGATTTGATGTTGTTGGTCCAAAGGGCCGTCGGGGCTTGATCTTGACGAACGGATGAACGGATCTTCAAGGGTCGTTGGGCTTGAACTTGACGAACGGATCTTCAAGGGCCTTTGGGCTTGATCTTGCAGAATGGATGTGTGGATTTGTTGATGTTTGTTGATCCAAAGGGCCGTTGGGGCTTATCTTAGGATGAACGGATGATGAACGATGAACACTTTCTTCAAGGGCCGTCGGGGCTTGATCTTGAATAGGTGAATGGTCTTCAAGGGCCATTGGGGCTTGATCTTGAATGAGGATTTGACGAAGAACGAAGAAAGTTTTCTTGATCTTTCGGGAATTTGCTTGAGAGCTTTAGAGTTTCAAAGCTTCAAGGTTTGATATGAGGTGAATTGGTTATGAATTGGTGTCCCTCAAATGAATGCCTTGGCCTTCTATTTATAGAATTCCAAAACTTGATTTTTTGGATTTAAATAATTAGATGGAATAAATCATCTCTGCCAGGTGTTGACACGTGTCCTGTTTGATGACTTTTCCGATTTATTTTGATTTTTCGTTTAGTCACATGCTATGTGTAAAATTTATGTGACACATAAACATTGAAATTTTAATTTTTGATCAACATTTATTTTACCGAAATTTCGATGTCTACAATCACATCCCCTTAATGTTCGAAATGATGCCTACCTTGTGGGATTTGCTTAATCATACCATCTATCTGATCACACAATGTACGTTCCTGAAGAACACCGCAATATCTTGGAGGTCAACCAGATAGACCTTTAGTTGCGAAACTTTTGAATCGTTCCAAGACTCACTGTATCTCATCGTGAAAGATATGGTCTAGAACTTTTGTTGAGCATATTCAAACTTCTTGCGATATAATCCATCGTTGAGTCCCATCAACGATCCATGAAGACAACACCGTATATATCGACTAGATCATGATACATCCAACAAGTCAACGCCAATGATATTGTGTCTACATCAGCATGAGCATCAGAATATTGAAGTCAAGCAGCCCAATCTCAGACAACCTTGCCGACGTCTACATAGAGTCAATGCTGAAGTCTACCTTCCAAAAGCTTGTTCGAGGAATTGGTATGCATAACTTTCTCACTTGCGATGCTTGTAGTTTCATTTGGAAATTTTGTCAAACTCAGGGGGAGTATCCAAAAGTATACTCATTTGACCTTAATGTACTTTTTTTCCTACGATTATGAGCATTTTTCCCACTGGGTTTTTACTACCTAACTAGATTTTGACGAGGCACCTATCCTAGGTTGGTCATACCCTTGTGTACGTCCTACTTGCGTCCCGAAGATGTATAGTTTTGACTTAATGCAACTTCTCACATTCCTCCTTTAGCTATGGGCTTTTGTCCCACCTTGGGTTTTGCCATAACGAGGTTTTGTGAGTTTTACTACCCATGCATTATTCATTTTGTTTTGAGACTTGCATTCGCTACTTGTGCCGACTAGACGAGACGACTTCATCAACTTCTTCTACATTTGCCTAAAGATCTGATGTGCCATCTACTTGAGTATTTGCACACTTAAGAGGGAGTGTTGTGACATATGTTTTAAATACATATTGTGATTGTGTAAATCCTAAGTAGAGATATATTAGGAATCATTTGGGATCTAGAAAATCTTTCCTAATAGATTTTGTATTACTTGGAGAGCAAGTTTCTCTCCTCCTTTTTATTATAAATAAAGACACAATGACTAGGGATTTAACACACAATTCCTTAAGTCTGTTCTCCACTCTCTTTCTCTCCATGCCGCACCCCTCAGTTAAATATAGGCCATAACACTTTTAACATTTTGATGAGCATAATTGTTCTTAGCACTTCAAAACAGTTATTTTGCACTCATTTCTAAATTATTTTTCGAGAAAATTGTTGCAATGATCCATTAATTTTAACCTAATTGGAGCAATGGTCCCTCAGCTAAAAATCCATGATCATTGGTCCCTTAATTCATCAAAATGTGCAACTATGATTCTTTTAGTCAACTACATCAGAATTTCGTCAAAATAACATTAAAGTTTTGGGACCGGGACCGTTGCTCTAATTCTGTCATTTAAAACATGTTGAAGGACTCATGTTGAAGGACCATTAAAATGACTTAGGTTGAAGTGGAGAGACCATTTCTCTAATTGGGTTAAAATTCAGGAACTATTGCTACATTTGTTTTCATTTGGTTTTCTATATTTGCCCCTTGATTCAGCCTCATGTGCGTGACAAGTGACTCATTTTGACGAAAGTTTTAACTGAGTTGACAAAAAGGACCATAGCTACACGTTTTGATGAATTAAGGGACCAATGGTCATGAATTTTTAGTTGTTGGATCATTGCTCCAATTGAGTTAAAATTGAGTGACCATTACTAAAATTTCCTTTTATTTTTCAAAAGTGACCATGGTCCGTCCTCATCCTTAAACATTATAATCGACGACTGCTGAGTTCACAACAAGTAAACAGCCGAGAGTCATTAACATTCACTTCCACAACATTATTTTTCAAAAATGACAATCATCCTCAAACATTATAATCAACGGTTGATAATTGTTCGCAACAAGTAAACATCGGATAGTCATTAACATTCACTTTCACGACATTATTTTTTTAAAATGACAATCATCTTGTTTGGGCAGGAATTTCCCCTCGCACAGCTCCCCTGGAAGTCGTCGTGTTCTTGGCTATCAGGCAAGTTCTTACTGTTTGGTGCGCTGCAAGAAGAGTTGTCAGTTAGTTCGAATGGTGCATTTGTCGGGCCTTTGGTGTAGGCCTTGAGGTTCGCAATCAAAACTAGCAAGGATTCGAGCATGCCACTGTTATCTCTGTATAACAGAATGTTGTATAGGTGTGAATTAAGTAGATTACTTGCACCTTACGTTATTTGACTTCTTTATTCATCAAACAATTGTCATAGATGGGTTAAGTCTGTATTAAATTCTTTTTTGCCTTGTAAACAAGGACTTTTGATTCAAGACCTTGTATGTCCAAAATGAAGGGGGTTCAGGGCCCTTATAACTAGTTATTTGTCTAGAGCTTGCTTGAATGAAAACAGGTTCATTAACTTGTCTAGATTTAGTTATAAATGAAGCTTTTAAAGTTAAAAACAGTTGAGAATGGCAAATACATGAAGGGAAAAGCTTTAAATGACAGAATTGCAATATGTAAGTACAAATAAAGGGGGTTTGGGCAAGTTTCAACCTTGTCTGGCAAGCTTCAAACTTGTTGTGACCGCTCCTCTTTAAGTTTACAGCAGTTTGTATGGTTCGAAAATGAAAAGTAATAAGAGTTTACTAGAGGGAATGATACTACAACAACTGGGGAAGGTAGCAGAGCTTCTAAACTTGACAAAAGATGGCTTTCTACAAGGGAAAACTATAATTAAGACAGAATCTGGACAAAATGCAACTTTCTGGGTACAAATTTGGTTTGATAGCAAAGTTTGGTATGTATTTTGATTTGATTGTTTGAGTGTCTTTGTCCCTGCTGCGTCATTCTTCATTTATAGGCAGTTTGGCCCGACTGCTAAATTTCCTCTTTTAGCTGATGGCTACAGATGGCTAGTGAGCCACTTCTTATTTTATTCATCCACTCCTTTGAAAAGCTGATTTCTTGCTGATAGTGTGGTATTTCTGGAAACCATCACTTCATTCATAGTAAGTGGTCTTTCCCTTCTGCTGAAATGGCTTTCTTCTTCTCTTCCTTTCGGGCCTTCTAATTTGTTTGAGCTGGGCTTTTCTTCTTAACTTCATACTCTTGGGCCTTCATTTCTTCAAAACCCAAAATTTAAATATTAACCCAAACACATCCGTCTTCATCCTCAAACATTATAATTAACGACGGATTATTATTCGCAACAAGTAAACAGCAGAGAATCATTAACATTCACTTTCACGACGGTCTTGGAAGTTGTAACTATCTTTGCAGTGCACAAAGACACAAAGTTCACGTGACCCACCTCCACACATCAGGACACACCCAAATCTCTTGTCCTGATCTACCCAAGTCCACGCTCTCGGCACGTGACCTCACGCCCAAACCGTGGGACGCACACGTTTTCCGCATGGTTTCACTTGCTCACCTCACCTCACACACGTACTGCACCCCCACACGCCTCGTTCGTGCCAGCAAATCCCCAAACACGCTAGCACCTCGCACGCGTGACAATCCGCGAGCGTGAGCGCCCCCTCCTCGCATGCTCGCACGCTTCTCCTTCCCCATCCCTCTCCCGCCCGACCCGACCCGACCCGACCCGCCCGTCCCCGACCCCCTCCCTCCGGTCTTCCTCTTCGGATTCCCGGCCTACTCCTCAAGAGACGACGCCGTACTATTTGTTTCCGGCCGCCGGAAAATTCGGGCACGGATTCCCGGTGAAGCAGCTAGGGCTTCTGAAAGGGGGAAGAGAAGATGGATCGGGTAGAAAATGGGACTGGGAGCTCCGAGTGAGGGACGATGAGGTGGAATTCGAGGAGAAAATGGAGAATTCCGGCCAGGGTGGAGTCAAATTGCTAGAATTCGGCCGTCCCAGCTGGTTTTAGAAGGTAATTCAGTTCACTACATGGAAATGTTTTACTTTTTGGTCATGTTTGGCTTCTGAGAAAATTTAAAAGCTTTCTCGTTTGTGACTGGTGTGGAAAGTAATAGAGAATAAGCGCCTTGTTTGGCTGCTGAGAAAATTTGAGCAGAAGTCAACCTCAATAGAGCCAAATAGGTGTAAACAGTCAATTTAGTAGGTTCTGCGTCTCTGTAATTTTGAACTGTCGTTTCAGAGTTTCGATTTTTAAAAGAAAATTGAGCAGGACCGTTTCTGCATTGTTGAGAAAAATCTAATCCTTCAAGTGGTTATGTGGGAAATTAAGCAGTGATGGTTTCTACATTCATGACAGAAGGATCAAGAAGCTAAGATAATCAGGGGGTTTAAAGCGTAGGATAAACGAATAAGGAGATTATGGAAAAGGGTCTTCAGAAATTAATCACAAGTGAAGAAGATGATGACGAAGAAATGGAGATGGACGTGAAAGAAGAGGACGGATGACGATGATGAAGATGGAGAGAAGGATGTTGATACCTCCCAAATGATGGCAGGGGTTGATGGAGAAATGCCAACAATAAGTAATAATAATAACCGTTTGCAACAGCACCATCAATTTCAAGAACAAGTGGGGACTGCCGGAGGGGGAGGAGCTAGGAGGTGTAGACCCATGGAAGAGAAGGAGAGAACCAAGTTAAGAGAACGGCAGCGCAGGGCAATCACGGCGAGGATCTTAGCAGGGCTACGGAGGCATGGAAATTATAATCTTAGAGTTAGGGCTGATATCAATGATGTAGTTGCAGCTTTGGCTAGGGAAGCTGGCTGGGTTGTTCTTCCAGATGGAACAACATTTCCTTCAAAATCTCAGGTGCTTCTCTCGCAAGGAAGAAGCTTATTCATCCTATTTTGAATATTTTAGCTTTCTTTATTTTTTAAATTTGTGAACATGACTGCATATTTGGTTGCTTTTAATGTCATAATTGTTTGCCGAAATGTTTAAAATTTGATTTCTTCCTATAAAAAGAAAAAATTGATCTTCATGTGGTTCATGCACTGGCTTATCTTAGATCACGAGTGCATGTTTGGTTTTGGCCTCCTTAATGTGGCTGTGGGTGACATTTAATGCATTTTATTGTGATTCTCATTTCTAACAAATTTTAGAAAAAAATCCAAAATGTTTATATTGAAATTTTACAGGGCCCAAGGCTGGCTGGTGTCAATTCTGCGGCAGTGACTTCATCATCATCCCAAATAGTATCCCCACGTACTCCTGCTTGCCTTAAAGGAGTTACTTCTGGCTATCAGAGCCCTGGGGAGCTTAATGCTTCCAACACCAAAGGTGTTTATTTGCCTAGTTTATCGCCTTATGATCTCCCCTCAAGTGCTCGGTCCCAAGGTTCATCCATTGTTGGAGATGGAGCAGGTCAAACAGAGAGTCATCCTCTTATTGGTGGCTCCATGGATAATGTTGGCAACAAACAGGTAATAGGACGAGAAATTCAACAGTCCATGTTTCTATGCCTACCAAAATATAAAAAATCACAAAATTGTTTTACTCCATAACATCATGCTTTGTGTGTTTCCGTCATGCATGGCATCATGTGTGATGTATTTGTTGAGACTTCTGTGGTGGTATGCATTTCCAGATATATCTTTTGGTCTGCAGGTGTTGAATTCTCTTATATGGTCATTATTTGTACCATCTTGGTTAATTTTGTTATCACATATTACACCATGCGTTAAATAGCACAAAGAACAGTAGCCTTTGTTAGCAAATGTATGGAGGCACAATTCTGCATTTATACTGTCTTCATTTATGCTTATAGCTGCATTGCAATTTACTAGGACCCCATAAGTAGTGAAATACTATTTTTCATATTGTTCATCTAATTTGTAGTAATGAATAGTTTGAATGCTAAGTTATTGCTTCCTAAGTTGGGCTGTCTCACATCCTTCAATGCACATTAATTCTTTTTCGTAGATTGTTGACATACCCCTGAAGTTACAAGAACGTGATTTCTCCAGCACTGCGTACATTCCAGTTTATGTAATGCTACCAGTGAGTTCTGTAACTTTACTAATATTCTTTTACTATGCAAGTTAAATTGATGGTTTTCTGTTTTTTAAATGTTTACGTTTCTATTCCATATCTTGCATTAGAGGTTGCCATGTCAAGGAGTTCAAGTTTTGCTTCATAAATAACGGTTGTTTTTAAGCTTGGTCTCTAATCTGTATGCTCTGTATCATGTCTTTTATTTGGCGGCAGCTAGGTGTTATTAACATGAAGTGTGAGCTGGTTGATCCAGATGGTCTACTAAAGCAGCTAAGGGTATTGAAATCAGTTAGTGTAGATGGCATTATGGTTGATTGCTGGTGGGGAATAGTAGAGGGACATGCTCCACAGGAGTATAATTGGAATGGATACAAGAGGCTCTTTTGGATGGTGTGCGAGCTTAAGCTGAAGCTACAGGTCTGTTTTATATAAATACGTTTTTTCACTTGCAGAGCTTTTTCAGTGGCCATATAAACAACACGTGCGGTTAATTGTTTTGCCATCTTGTGGTCATTTTTATTCTTTCCATGGTTGTCCTGTAATGCTTGGCAAAGTTTTGAGATTTTCTCTCTATAATGTGGGAACCAAGGGACTCACTTCCCTTTCATGCTTTGAATTCACTCTCTAAGACCGGAGATTATATAATCATTTGGGCATGGTTGCTTTTGTTTGTTCTTCTGAAATTTATTGTGGGTCTGATGGGCAACTTCTGTGTTTAATGTTGTGATGTCATTTCATGAATGTGGAGACAATGTTGGTGATGATGTATGTATTCCACTGCCTCATTGGTAGAGGCAACCCTGACATATTTTTCACCGATAGAGAGGGAAGACATAATCCTGAATGCCTTTCATGGGGAATTGACAAGAAACGAGTTTTAAGAGGCCGGACGGCTGTTGAGGTTTTGCAGTCACATATGATGAATGATACCTTAATCTTTCTGCTTGCAATTAAAATTGGTGGTAATTGAACTCTTTGTATGTCAAACAATTAGCACCTATTAATCTATATACTTCTTTTTCTATGGATAACTTCTTTAGTGCCATATGCAGAACGCTTTTCAGTATTATTGTACCGTTTTTTGAAGGGTAGTCCTATATACTGAGTGTCAAAATGCTAATTTTTAACTGATATAGGTATACTTTGACTACATGAGAAGCTTCTGTGTAGAGTTTGACGAGTACTTTAAAAATGGTAACATCTCCATGATTCAAGTTGGACTAGGTCCGTGTGGGGAATTGCGATACCCATCTTGTCCTGTAAAGCATGGTTGGCGGTATCCCGGTGTCGGTGATTTTCAGGTAACTTGCTGAATAATGTTATATCGGTTTACAAGTGAATGAGTCTGTCGATTTCCTCAGCCTGAGCATTTAAAAAATTGCAGTGTTACGATCAGTATTTGATGAAAAGTTTGAGGAAGGCAACAGAAGCAAGGGGACACTCCTTCTGGGGTAGAGGTCCAGATAATGCAGGTTCTTATAATTCCGGGCCAAATGAAACCGGTTTCTTTTCCGATGGCGGTGATTATGATGGCTACTATGGCAGGTTCTTCCTTAATTGGTACTCTCGAGTTTTAGTTGATCATGGTGATCGGGTGCTTTCTCTAGCAAAGTTAGCTTTCGACGGAACCTGCATTGCTGCAAAGGTGGGTTAGCTTCCATCATTTTGAACATACACAAAAGATGAATTTTTGAAATCTGATATTTGAAAGAGGATAAAATCCATAGAAAAATCAATTAGGAACTAACTTTGAAGATGTGGCCAAAGAATTCAAATAATACCGAAAGCAAAACCATCCATGTTGAATTTGAAGTTTCAAGTTTTAATCTAGAACATATGAAGATTGTAATGCAGGCCTAATATTGTTGAGTGTTGAAAATTTTGCAACCTTAGAAGTAATTTGGCTAGTTTATGGATTGATCAGTCAGTTTGATATATTTTAATTGTTAAGCAGCTATCAGGTCTTCACTGGTGGTACAAGACGGCCAGTCATGCGGCTGAGTTGACTGCGGGCTTCTATAATCCATGCAACCGTGATGGTTATTCTCCAATTGCGACGATGCTAAAGAAGCATGAAGCTACTTTAAGCTTAGCATGTACTGAATTGCACATGTTAGACCAGCATGAAGATTTCCAAGAGGCACTGGGAGATTCCGAGGGTTTATTTTGGCAAGTAAGCATCAAATTTATCTGAAACCTCATCATGTACTCTAAAGTGGCCTTTTCTGATCCAAGCTTCAGCACTTAAGAATCCGTCTGTATTGGAATTCACTGGGATTCATTGTGAAAAATAGTACCCTAAATTGAAAAGTATATGCATTTACGTTGTGAAATCTTTGGAAATTCAACATTGTAAACTACTATTTCAGGTGCTGAATGCTGCGTGGGATGTTTGCTTACCAGTTTCTAGTGAGAACGCTCTTGCTTGTCATGATCGTATCAGCTACAACAAGATATTGGATAATGCTAAGCCCTTGACCGATCCAGATGGAAGGCATTTGTCATCTTTTACCTACCTTAGGCTCAGTCCACTTCTAATGGAAAGAGACAACTTCATGGAATTTGAACGATTCGTTAAGAGAATGCACGGTAAGACAGCTTTTACCACTGCATTATTCTTGATTCAATTTGATGCGTTATTGATCTAGGAAAATGCCAACAACAATATCTCCGTATATAAACACTGCTCCACATTGGAGAACGAAAATTTACTATGAATTTCACATTTTTGTGTTTTCTGGATTCAGTATGAGTTGTAACTATGAATTTCACTGCAGGGGAAGCTGTTGTTGACCAAGTATATAGCACAGTAGAATGAAGTATCCCCAGATGGTGCTTTATTAATTCCTCTTGAAGGAACAGGTTTGTCCAGTTTAGTGTATTATCTTCTTTTCTTAGAGGCAAAAGGAAAATTTACTAGTCGATAGGACAGTGGCTAACGACAAGATTCAACTATTTTGTACTCGAACAGCGATCGCGATTGATATGTAAAAGTAATTTAAATGTAAAATCCTCATAGCTTTTAGAAAACATTGCTTGCAGAAATTGCATCTTTCTCCACCATTAGCAGCCATTGGCCGCCGGCCTCCCTATGATATTTGCAATGAAAGGCAATCAACAAAATCATGAGCACAGATGATCTTCAATGTAATCATTGAGGTTTTTATACGATCAGCGATGACATGGCAGCGCAACGTTTTATGCACAGCTTCACTTTCATGTACTGCCTCTCGTTCCCTCTCACCAACATCAATCTGAACACAATCATGAACTTCCCAATAGAGGATGCTTCACAAGAATCAAAGAATTACTTTTCTCGGCGTAGTTATTACTTCTTGAACACCATGTCACCGGACTCATCAACATCGAAAAGCCGCTCTACGAAATTATCCCAGCTTTCCCTCCTTATCTTGAATGATGCCTTACAAGGAGTTCCCCCACTCGATCCTCCAGAATTCTTCCCCTCTAAAGTTTCAACGAATGCAAATGTTCCATACTGCGAATCAGAGTAGGCATGAGGGATATTCAAAGCTACAGCTCTCCTAAGAGCTGCCTTGTGCTCCTGGCTGTGTTCACGAACAAGGGAAACTTGTCGCTCCATCCTCTGCTTTGCTGGAACTTCCATAATTTTGTCTTTCTCAACCATTAACTGATATCATGGGAAAAACGAATACATCGTTACAACCACAAGCACACAAATCTCAGATCTAGGTGGGATTATCATTAAATCTTAAAGAAATTTGAAGTGTAATGGGGGATTTAAGGACTAACATCAAAAGCCTTTTGTGCTTCTCTCTCTATCCAAACTATGGCATGGTCAGAAGTAACATTGCAAGAAAGAACTATGTGCTCAAACCGCCCATCCACAGGAACCGCTGTTTTCACCACTGGCGGAAACCTTTCAAATCTGCAACCAGTAACCTCCCAATCAGCGTCTGTAATTCGTTCTATTCCTCCCCCAGCAGTTAACACATCATGCCGATGCAATTTGAAATCTAACAACACAATCGAAATGCATAGAAATTGAAATATCATAACATCCTAATATACCTGAAGGGCTTTCGTTCAACAATGTGATAGAGACGGCCAGGTGCATATAATCTCTTTGGATCAGTAAGCATCTTCTGTTCCAGTGTGCACGTCTCCTTCAAGCACATTGTGCAAAGAAAACATGGCAAACTGTGCAGACGAAGGAAAGCAACCTCATTTAGAATATCAGCAGGATAACACAGGTACAATCTAAATTATATCAGTAATACATTGCAATGAATTATCAAATGCAAGAAAGTTCGAAAAAAAAAAAACGTACTATGTTTTACCAGAAAAGTGATTTGAACAAGTTATCCAAAGCAGTTGTTATCCGAGGTAAGAAATCATCCTGGTTCATTATAACAACCACATTAGAACACTGAGGACCTATAATCACCCATCGGCAAAAAGCATACTAATCTCTGGGAAAAACATTGATTCAATTTATGTGGCCGGCCTTATTGACCAATTTTCACCAGAAAACATAGGCAATGAATTAAGTCGCGCAAATATCACCTATTTTACAAGGAACAAAAAATAAATATCTCGAATGGAATCTCATAATCTTACCTGAAGTACAACAGAGTTGATAACATCTGCATACCTCACAGCCAGATTCAGTGACATGCATCTAGCAGGAGCCGTAGCATAGCATCTAATCTTCTTCCTCTCAGTTCCTAATTTAGTCAGATTCTGAAGCGCCACTAGCGTCATCAATGCCACCACACCAGCCCCAAGGGAATGTCCAGTAAATGTCACAGTATAATTCGGATGTTTCATTACCAATTCCCTCAATATTTCATGCTCTGCATCAAACAACCACTCTGCTGCCTTCAACAGCCCATTGTGGACATACCCACCGTCAAATTTTGTCTGCCCAAGTTTGTTGTCAAGCATAACTGCATAATCATTTTCCTTAGCTAAATTGAGTCCCCTAACTGCTAAGACTATATCAGAATGATCGTGATCAAGATATATAAAGTACGGAGGAACACGGCCAAGGGTTTCTTCATAGTCTTTCCGTAAGATAACCCAATCAGGATTAAGGCCATAACCTCCGGGGGGTGCCCAAAGAGGATTACGAAGATCTTCCTCATAGACGGCTAGAATTAGGCGACAAAAACGAGGGATAGGCTCAAATTCTTCAGCAGTAGCCAGACCCCAGTTTTCACTTTCACGCCCTGCTGTGTAGAGGCATTTCAGCCACACCCAACGGGCACATGCCAGACAGTATACAGACTCAAGGATAGGAATCCCACAGCAGATTGACATGGACGCCTATGAAGCAATGTAAGCAAATATCAAGAACTCGATGGGAAATCACGAAAAACTAGTAAGCAAACCATTACAACATTGAAACTAAGCAAACAATTACCGCATTGGGTTGGCACAGTTCAACAGCTACACATTTGGGTATAGATTAAAGCAAATTATAAATGCGAAATCGAAATTGAACACTATATTTGGGTGAAAAGTCACCTGGGTTCTAAAATATAGTTGAAATTCAGAGCAGATTGACAGAAAATATATCCAGATACCAACTGAACAAAAAAAACTGGGAACTAAGATGCCCAAAGTTCAAGGTTTTCAAGCGGATTATGGTATCAAATTTCAATTTCTACTAATAAATTAAACAAAGAAACATTCTTTACTAAAACATCAACAGTTAAGCAGGAACTAAATGGATGAATCAAGTATCAGAAATATTACATGTATTAAAGCTCAAAGTGCATGAGCTTCCAATATGCATCAAAGGATTCAAATCCCATTTGTGGAAAACTGGGACTGAACAAAACCCATGTAGTGAAATTTTGTAATAAGGAGGACAGACTAAGGATTCATGCTTTTAAGGTTCTTCCAGAAAACCCACCACAGAGGATCATCAATTAGCTAAAACCCAGTTCTGGAAATATGAAATGAAATATATATGGTATAAGAAGATGGGGTTTCCTGAATAGGGTTTTAGGGGATTGGGATTAGAAAAGTGGGAATCTCTACTGTGCTAAATATGGATTGTGGTTCCACTGAGATGTAGAGGACTTGTATTATACATCTGTGTGTATGAATTTAAAATAAAAGATTAGAAAATACAGATACAGAAACAGAGAAGAGAGAAGAGAGACGGAGGAATGTAGAATTTGTGCCGGGCTAGAGGTCGTACCTGCAAGTCAAACTCATTTCTTTTGAGTTAGCTTCAAGAATCTACTCTCCCAAATGCTTTTATTCCACAACCCCTTGTATGACCTCTATCACTCGCTTTTTATTTTTATTTTTTATTTATTTTTTCTTTCAATTTTTATAATTTTCTTTTGGAAGATGATTTGGGCCTTGGCTAATCTTAGGTTTTGTGGTTTGAAATTCGAGTGCAAGTCGGGCGAGTGAGGCCATCTCCAATCATGAAGGATAATTTCCTACATTGGAACGTATGGGTTAGCAAACTCAATCTTTGTTTAGGAATATTTTTAAAATGATTGAAATCGTTTTTTAAGAAATTGATTTTGGGTCCTTTTGGAAGAAACTACATATATGTGTTTCTTGCATAAAGTACTTAAAATGTTTTTCCAAGATGCACTTAAATTTTTATTAAGGATCAGTTTCAAAAATAGTTTCACAAAAAACATATTTAATCATTTTAAATGCACTTCTAAACGAGTTCTCAGTTAATAAAGTTAATTATGGGATGGCTGCATACATAAATTCATGACACCAATTTTTATGTAAGCAAACATTGAGAACATGAAGTGTCACGTAGAAAAAATGGCGGTTACCTTGATATATCAACTTAACAATTGAGGGTTGTTTTTGTGCAAATTGTTACTGATTCCCTATTAAAGAGTTCAAAGTGTAATTTTTTTTTTCCATAGGAAATTTCTAAATTTTTAATTTTTTTGTTTGTGCATATTAATTGTTATCGTCAAGCTCGTCATCGTCAAACACTACTGTCAGTTTCTATTAGTAAATCTTTATACTTTATGCGCAGATACGTATATAATACTGTGTATGTATAGTTTTTGTAATGGTGGTGAAGATTTTGTGTGTGTTCTTTTTTTGTGTGTAGGAAGTGGAAAGTGTGTTGTTCGCGAAGCCGAAACTGGGGACAGGGTTTACTTCGAAGGAGAGGTTAGTTTGATTTGATTACTTGTTGTTTAGTTGAATTGGAAGTTGGTGAGCTGGAGTCTGATTCAGTACGTTGCTTACACAGGCTGAAGTTACTTGTTCTGCTAATGATGATGAAAGGAAATCGACCCGAGTTAAAATTGAAACGATATGATTATTTTGGTTATGGTGAGAACTGAGAACTCATTTTTTATTTTTCCCGTTTTTGAAATTAAGAAATTAGTTACTTCTCAATACGCTTTTTGTGGGGCACTGAGAATTTTTTAACTGTTTTTAAGCATATGATTTGAGATAGGGTTTCTACTTTCTACAGTCTGTTTCTGATCTTTAGAGATTGCTTTATTTGATATTGTCAAATGGTACATGGATTTCCATGTTCAGTATGTTGTTACTGTAGTTTAATTGGATGCGATACAAGTTGAGGTATTGACATGAAACCAGACACAGGTAGTGGTCATCAATTACTTTGGATAAAGTCGTATTTTGGTTTAGGCTACAAATGATGAATCTTTGTACTTAAGATTTTTGGATGACAGATTGTGAGGCATTGGCCTATGATTCGTAATATGTAGCTGGAATTATAAGTGTCACAGTCCATTATCAAGGAAGTATAATGTGAAGTTAATTTTGCAGGTTTTGCATCAATTGAACATCAGGCCGATGTGATTGCTTTATCCAAGGTAGTTGAAATGTAAATGTAATATATTAGCTTTTTATTTTTCATTTTTGTTTTTAGAGATTATGAGTCGCAAGCCTGGGCTTTAATAGTAGATTGGGCGGTATAGATAGGTGCAACTTTGCAATCCTCTTTTATTGTTTCTCTGTGACAACGTAATCTATCTGGTTGCTCAAGCTCACAAGATTTTCCTTTAAAATACTGTCTTATGTATGCTAACAGTGGCTTCTGACATGTTCTTACTTTTGGCAGCTGATTTGCTTGGTGCTAGCCCATGAGAATTGCACTCTGCTGCAGCCAAAATCAATCTGGAATGCTGATAAAGCTCAAAAGACATGCTCTCTTGTTGAGAATATATTGCATTTGGATCCAATTGAAGTATTTTTCTACCAAAATTTTTTCTCGTGTTCATTTATTTCTGCTCTGAATATGCCAGATGTAAAGTGATTCTGGATTTTTGTTCTTTCTGAATAGAACCATATATTTTGGAATATTCTGAGTAAAACTTGTAATATGGGCATATATAAAGAATTGTTTTAGTTGATAAGATTCTATTCTTTTTTGCCCCCCCCCCCCCCCGCCCCCCCCCCTTGAAGGTAAACATATTTCAAGGGATTACTTTGCTGGATACGCCACAATTCGGACAGGTTTTTGGAAGGCAGTTAGTTGGACAGGCATGATTAAGTAACTTTTTCTCTTCCCCTTTAATATTTTTCTACTGAATGTTTCTCAATGAATGCACAGTTGATGTAGTGAAAGAAATGAAATATTGTGATGGACTGTGGAACTTGAACTTGCATGCATGATACAATAAGCTTCCTAATTCTGTGTAAAAATTAAAGGACCAAAAAGTACATATCATCCTTATTAAGTGCACAAAGATTGTCTCCACACTTGTCTGACCTTGATTGCCTTTATCTTTGTAACAATAGTCTGCCAGTGTTTTATATTTGTTTGAATATTAATATTCAATTAAACACCCATTGTTTATTGAGTTGTCAACTTGATTATTTAAATATTACAGGGGTGCTTTATATTTGTTCAAATGTTTATGTTCAGTGGGAAACCAAGTTTGTTTTATCTATTAAATAATGCAAAATTTGTTTCCCCAATTTTATTTACCCGTATTATGTTTCTGCTTCATAACTGTATCTGCAACTCAAATTGATTGTTCTGTCATTGATTTAGTTTTGAGTTCATTGAGACACAAAAATAAATTTGACCGTGGCTTGGGATTCATTTAAAGTAGCGTATGCGTTCTAATATAGCTTATAAAGTGCAGGCATTAGCTGCAGCAACGAAAACTGTTGATTGTCTTAAACTTCTCCATAGTGTGCATGCACATTTTCTGCTTGCTGGGGATTCTAACAGTAAGTACTTTGTATATGAGCTAACATCTAAGGATAAGAATCCTAAGATAAGAGGCAATATGTGTATGTATATCTATCTGTATTCTGGTTATGTACGAAGATTGCTTTTGCAGCACCAATTATATATCAAGTTCACAGAATGCGTGATGGGAAGAGCTCTGCTACTCAAAGAGTTGATGCAATACAAAAGGGGATTAACATATTCACGTTACTTGCATCATTTAAAGTAACCATTTGTTTAGACACTTTACAAATGATCTGATAACAGTCTCTTGGTTATTAACTTTGCTTGTCATTAATACCTGTGCACTTTAAATGCATATCAAGGTGGGTAGAGGTCAAGTATTGATCAATATTTGTTAATCAGATTGCTAAAAGCTTATGAACCATGTCTTAATATGGTAAACAGAGATTGGATATGCCTTTTAAATTTGTATGGATAACCTGATAAAATCTTGTTCCCTAAGAAGTATATTCATTTTCTTTCCTTCAATGTATGCTAAAGTGGCAGCTACTGTTGCAGCGTCACCTATTGATGGTAAAATTGGTTGTATTAGTTTTACAGAAAGAAGAAGGGTCTGTCCACCAGCAAGCAACAATGCCATCTGTGCCTGTTCCAGATACGGTAACATTTTCTTGCTTATTTTTTAACAATTTTGTACGGTGGTTGCACATACTGAACTGTTGATCCATAACAGCTTCTGTCGATGGAAGAACTACATGAAAAACGTTTGCTTGATCCGCATCTTCCAAGGTAAGATATTGTTAAAAATTAAGCTTGTAATATACCCATTTTGTTTCTTTTTTCTTCCCATTTTTTTGGTATTGTGGAGTTCAGTTGGGACTTCCATACAAACTGTACTTTTAGTGTACTGGACACTGTCACACAGCTATGTATTTTAGGGCTGTAGCTGCACAAAAGAATATCGGGCCAGATACAATAACGCCCCCTTCTCATTTGTTCAACAAATTAGAGGGGTTGGTTCATGGATCTGGACTTTCCATGGAATAAAACGTCTGTGCTTAGGGGGAAACATGCACAACAAATATCTTGATTTGGACCGGTCTCTAAGTTGGACGTCTGGATAGATGCTCAATCTAAGTTGGATAGATGCTCAATCCGGATTGAAATTTCTTGAGTGGATGTTCGTTATTGGCTTGCAAAAAATGTAGTGTCTGCTGGATTTAGTTTTGTTCCAGAGAGATTGGTTTTGAACGGAAGACCTTTCTGATTATGTATCATGAAAACTTTTGTTGATAATTTTTTTTGGAAAAGATGTTAACTGTTTATATTATATTATTAGGTTTCATGTAGCAGAACTAAACAACTATCTTAAGGTTTATAAAAGTGTAATTCAAGGGTTTATACTTTTGTTAGTGATCAATTTTTATAACTTCTATCAAAACTTTGTTTTCTGGAACTTTCAGTTTTTTGATAGCTGATGAAAAAAGTTATATAATTTATTTTTGTGACTGGTTGAATCAGGACATACCAAATCAAGGCAGCTGCAATGAAATTTGTGCCTTGGCTTATAGATCAACCGCTCAGACTAAATCCCCACCAAGGTTTGCTTGCTATGATCTCTCTCTCTCTCTCTCTCTCTCTCTCTCTCTCTCTCTCTCTCTCTCTCTCTGTTTTGTACTTATCTAAGTAGAATTCAGTGATATTTCAGTTTGAGGTTCTGGTTTAGAGCAAAAGGAAAACTTTCAGACGATCAGGCTTTGCATAGATATGCACCCATTTTATCTATGAGCTGACATTCAGATATCTGGTTATCTATGATTTGTGAGTACCTATCACACTTAGTAATTGCATGGATGATGAAACTAAACCGAAGTAAAATATCACGTGCTTCCATCATGGGTTACTATAGGATAGTTATTTAACTGAATGTTGATTTGCAGATATGGTGATTGTTTCCTGTATGATTGATTGCTTTATATACATTAATTATTTTTGTAAGATTGATTTCCAGATGTGTTGTAGCATATGCTTCAGATTTGATGTTCTCTAATGTTAGTCTGAATCCGCACCGCGGAGCTGGGGTTAAGTTGAGTAGCGTTAGTTTGGACCATGCGTTTGTCACTTTTTTTTACCGCAGAGCTGGGGTCATTGAGTTGAGAATGATCAAAAAATGTATTGAACATACAGTGTTTTCAAATATTCTCCCAGGATGTGGTTTCACCGGCCGGTTAGAGCTGATGGCTGGTTACTGTATGTGGTATGTCCCAATATGCCTTGCTCTTATGTGTAGTCAGTTTCGTTAAAAACTTAAAATGCCCATGCATAAGTTTTGTCGACAGATGGTGAGTCCCATTGCCTACGACACGCATGGATTTGTTTTGGGCCAAATGTTTTACAGAAACGGAGAGGTATCGACTGTTATGTACCGCCCGTCTCTCATTGCTGTTGGTTTGCATCTGTCGAAGCATTGTGTGATGAACTAAAGTTTATGTATGTTTTGATGGCAGCTTGTTGTATCATTGACTCAAGAGTCCCTAAATAGGCCAATTAGACCCTAAAGTTTATGTATGTTTTGATGGCAGCTTGTTGTGTCATGCACCTTTAAGCTCAAGTGTCTTGAGTAATTTCAGCGTGGAGCGCAATGACATTAGATTACGTTCATTGGGGCAAATGTTATTGTACGAAAACGTCGAGAAGGGTCAATTATAAGTACAGATAATCCGTTAAAGATCTTTTATCACATGTGTTGTATATATTGGGTACCATTCATTAATATCAGAAAATTAGAGAATTAAAATTAAAATGATTTTTTTAATTACTCTCTATATTATATGTATTTAATATAAAAATGTAATATATATATATAGCTTAAATGCATATATTATACACGGATAGATTTGAGAGTCTAAATACATTGTATTATACTGTTATTTATTTATATATAATATATTATATATATACAGATATTCGGTACGATACATAATACCGTCGGTAATGATTGTGGGTACCATTACCATACTATTTATATTCGGTATGGTACAATTACCGTCCCATTATCAATTTGGCACAAAATTAGTAGGTTACAGTTGGTAATATGATTGATACGATAATATGATAAAATTTTCGAAAAGGGATCCGGATCCCTTCCTCCTAATCCACCAAATCAGATAATCTGTGCTATTGACATTTGATGCAACGGCTATAAACAAGGGCCCACTTTAAAATTTATAATAACTTCAGTCGTTGATCAAATTTCAATGGTACAGATTCTCTGATTTGGTGGATTAAGAGGAAGGGATATGGAGATTATCTCTTTTCAAAATATTCCACCCTTAATTGAGATGTAGCAGTGTACGGGGTTGCTAACATTGTCATCTTCCTTTGCAGTCGTGTAGAAAATAATGGAACCGGATCCCTGCCAGACCCAAATAAACTGAGCCTAAGGATCAAATGATCCAGACCGTTGAAATTTGATCCAACGGCTACAATTATTATAACTTTTAGAGGGGTCCCTGTTTTGTAGCCGTTGGATCAAACTTCAACGGCCCGTATCATTTGATCCTTAGGCTCTGTTTATTTGGGTCTGGAGGAGATATGGTTCCGAAAATAATAGCCTAAAAGTTCTAGTGAAACATCATCTTCATTCTCTATGATATTATCATTGTTCTAAAAATACCCGCCTAGATAGTTGGCTCCCAAATTAATCCCTAGTTGTTTCAAATTAAAAAAGTTTGCCTAGACCTGCCTAGCTGTCAAAGCCATGACTCTCACTTAGACACTTAGATAGAAAATAATTAACTTTTATTTTACATTTTTTAAATAAATTGTAAGAGACTTGTTAACTTGTTACATGTTTTCAACTTGCCGTCTTTTTACCCAAAAATAAATAATAAACACGTTCTTTGACGGCCATGATCAATTGGACCGTTGGATCAACCAACATTCCAGGTTCATTTTTCTTGTTTTGTTTTATATTTAAAATTTATTGAATCCAACTGCTGAGATCGAATATGATTAAATCTAACGGTAAAAAAAAATAAAATTTAACAGCCCAAATTAAATTCCAACAGCTAAAATAATTAAAAAAAATTATTTAACTCAAAATTCATCCAAAAACTTATGAATACCTATGTATTTGTTCAAATATCCACACAAAACTCAATTTTCTCCAACTATTTTTTTTCTTTCTACCATATTTCAAAACCATTTCTGTAACATCCCACATCGTCCAGGGGAGTGGATCATGTAAGCCTTATATGTAGATTCTCATCTCTACCTAGCACGAGGCCTTTTGGGAGCTCACTGGCTTCAAGTTCCATCGGAACTCCGAAGTGAAGCGAGTTCGTGCGAGAGCAATCCCATGATGGGTGACCCACTGGGAAGTTGCTCGTGAATTTCCAGAAACAAAACCGTGAAGGCGTGGTCAGGGCCCAAAGCGGACAATATCGTGCTACGGCAGAGTCGAGCCCGGGAAGTGGTCCCGCCCGGGCCGGGATGTGACAATTTGGTATCAGAGCCAATCCCTGCCAGGAAGTGTGTCGACGAGGACGTCAGGCCCCTAAGGGAGTGGATTGTAACATCCCACATCGCCCAGGGGAGTGGATCATGTAAGCCTTATATGTATATTCCCATCTCTACCTAGCACGAGACCTTTTGGGAGCTCACTGTCTTCGGGTTCCATCGGAACTCTGAAGTTAAGCGAGTTCGCGCGAGAGCAATCCCATGATGGGTGACCCACTGAGAAGTTGCTTGTGAGTTCCCAGAAACAAAACTGTGAGGGCGTGGTCGGGGCCCAAAGCGGACAATATCGAGCTACGGCGGAGTCGAGCCCGGGAAGGGGTTTCGTTTGGGCCGGGATGTGATACCAAACTGACACACCCCGACCCGAATCAGGGCATGCTGGCCGTCACGTGAGGGTGACGTAACCTTGTGCACAGTGCAGAAGCGATAAGGATAAGATATATACGAATAAATAAAAGTTGAAATCTAATTAATGTGAACTAATAAGCAGAAAGTGCTAGGAATGAGATACAAGTGTAAATACACCTAATCAGAGCGTAGAAAGTTTAGGTGCAATATAGTAGGACAAATACTAGTTATACAGTACCAGAAAAGGTCCTATGGATATTATATTTTGTCAGAACCGCCGAAATCCTCAAATGCCACCAACAGCAAGCCTACCTAAAACCTGGAGGGGCGCAAAACAGAAAGTGTGAGTGGGCAAAAACAAAGTTTTTCAAAATCATTTCATTTATCAACGCTCTAACCCCTTGCCGTAAAACATGTATAATTTCCCCAGGAATGGAATAAATAAAAAATATATATATATATACATACTAGGAAGTTCTCGTGTGAGTTCTCAGAAACAAAACCGTGAGAGCATGGTCGGGGCCCAAAGCAGACAATATCGTGCTACGGAGGAGTCGAGCCCGGGATGTGGTGGGGACCCAGGCAGGGATTTGACAATTTCTTCCCATATCTAAATTTTCAAGATGGCAAAAGATCATATTAGAGGTCGTAATTGGTCATATAAAGAAAATGTTGCTCTGTGCTTAACATGAGTTTGTATCAGCAAAAATGGTGCCGTAGGCACGAATCAAAATAAAAAAGTTTTGTGGGCTAAAATTGTTGATAAGTTCAATGAAAACTCCAACACTAATCGAATGGTGGTTGCTAGTGTTTATGATCGGTGGAAGGTTATTAACAAAGTGTGCACTTTATGGAATGGAAGCTTTGAGAGAGTCGTGGCTAGTGGAAGAAGCGTCATAGAAGTGGTGAATTTCTTTGTTGATATCTTATTTGTGTACATAATCTTATTTTGCAACTAATTGTATTTATATGTTCCTTGCATAGGGTGACAAAGTAATAATGATTTACAAGACAAGAACTACGCTAAAAATCAAGCTTTTAAGTTGCGTCATGTTTGGGATGTCCTAAAGGATTGTTCGAGATGGGGAACCGATGCAGACCAACAATGGAGAAAATTATTTGGTAATGAAGTTGCAAGCACAATGATGGTAATGAATGTGTCAATTCGGTAGCCCTAACTTCTTCTTTTGCAAGGTCCAAGGAAGAGATAAGCAAAAGAAAGCAAAAAGAAAATGGAAGATGCAAGATTCGGTATGTGTTTCATGTGTTTGGTTGTTATACATCTCTACCATGTGTTTTGTATGTGTTTCATATGTTTCTTGTGTTTTGTGTGTTTTATATATATTTCATGTGTTTTGTGTTTATATTTCTATCATGTATTTCATATTTCGTCATAGTGTTTCATGAGTTTTATGTGTCAGTTTAGTGATTTTTCAATATTTATCAAAATTTAAATATTTTTAAGTTAAAACATTCATAAAATTAATTTAGGATCGTCTACATAATATATAGGGTAAAAGATTGTTTAATACCCTCATATTTCGTGGTTTTCAATATTTAGTACATCAAGTTTTTTTCGTCCCAGAGTCATACCTAAAGTGTTAATTTTGGGACAGTCTCATACATCCGGTAGTCAAACTGTTAATTCTCTCGTTAAGTGATGACGTGGCGCCCATGTGGACAATGACTGGGCTCCACGTGTCATTAAAAATATTAAAATAATTAATTAAATTAAAAAAAAAAGAATCTGCAACCCAGAAGGAGGAAGAAGAAGAAGACGAAGGGAAAAAAAAAGTCGAATCTGCAACCCAGAAGAAGAAGAAGGAGGAAGAAGGAGAAGAAGGAAAAAAAACAAAAAACAAATCTGCAACCTAGAAGAAGAAGGATGAGAAAGAAGGAGGAGGAAGAAAAGGAAGGAGGAAGAATGAGGAAGAAGAAGAAGAAGAAGAAGAAGGAAAAAAAAACAAAACCGAATATGCAACCCAGTAGAAGAAGAAGGAGGAGGAGGAAGAAGAATAAGGAGGAAGAAGGAGGAAGAAGAAGAAGAAGGAAAAAAAACAAAAAACAAAAAACTGAATCTGCAACCCAGAAGGAAGAAGAAGGGAAAAAAAACCGAATTTGCAACCCAGAAGAAGAAGAAGAAGAAGAAAAAGAAGGAGGAGGAAGAAGAAGAAGAAGGAGGAAGAAGAAAAAGGAGAAGGGTTGGGTGTGCAGGGGGAGAATGGTTGGGTGTGGGAGGGTGAGTACGAGTTGCAGAGTAGAGAATGGAGGGTGGTGGTGCAGGTGCAGAAGAGAGAAAGGAGGGAAGGAGAGGGTTGCAGAAGAGGGAAGGGAAGGAGAGGGTGAGGGTGCGGGGAAGACGAAGAGGTGGGTGATGGGAGGGTGGGCACTATTGGGATTTGGGGAAGATGAAGGTTTTTTTTTTTTTTTATTTATATTTTATTATTTTTAATTTTATATTAATTATATATATATACTAATTTTATTTATTTATTTATTTTATAAATAATTTATTTTTAATTTCCATGTGAATGACACTTGGCGTCCAATTATTGTCCACATGAGCACCACGTCACAGTTAACGGGAGACTTAACGGTTTGATTAACGGATGTATGAGACTGTTCCAAAATTTACACTTTAGGTATGACTCTGGAATGAAAAAAACTTGATGT